ATTCTCCTCTAGGGATCTTGGGCACGCACGCACACGCGTCTGGCGTGAGTTTTAAGCCACCGGGTCTGGGATGCGAACCACGGTCTACTACGTGGGAATCCAGCGACATAGCCATTACGCTAACTGCTGGTTCCCTCAATTTAATTAATTTTTGAAAACAGTTTTAATTTCTGCATTGCTGACAGACATAGCTGAGACTGAGTGACTTTATAAGGACAGTTTATTTACAAACTCCCATTCTGGTGACTGGAAGGAACAAGGCCTACCCCTATAGCACAGAGGCTGTCAGAAGCATAGAGGATGGTGGGTACATGCAGACGAGAAGCTCGTTCTCACTCTTCTATTGCAGCCAGCTCTCACAAGAACTAACCTCTTCTCACAAGATCTAAAACTCACTGGATCTTGGGAGCCATTGTTAATCTATTCATGAAGAGTATTGCTGCCATGATACAATTACTATGAACCAGTCACCACTCACTCAGCCTTACCGCCTCCCCAAGTCAAAATCCAAAACATTAAACTTGGAGGGACAAACCATCACCCAAACCATAACAGAAACCTACAACTAACTGCATACCAAATAGTGAAAAACTAAATGCTTTTCTCCTAAAGTCAGGAACAAGAAAAGGATGTTTGCTATCATCACTTCTATTCAAAATTATGTGGAGATTCAAGAAAGCACTAAAAGACAAGGGGGGGAAAAGCACCCAGATTGGAGAGGAAGAATTAAAACTGTCTTGGACTGACTCCATGGCATGCTGGCTAAAGGAACCAGATCTAACATGGCCTACTGTGTGGTTCAAGTCCAGCCCTTGGTGGCTTGAAAAACAAGCTGGGCATGTGTGCATTGGTTCCCCAAATCCCAACAAGATAGAGAAATGGAGGAGAAGGTTTTGCAGCGTGAACACACCCCATGGAGTGTACTTTCTCCTTTTCTCTTTCTCTGTCTCCCTCTGGGGAGGGCATATGCCCTCTGGCAAACATTATTAAAAAAATTAAAAAGGAAAAAAAAACCCTTGTCTTTTATTCACAGACAATATGACAGTCCATGTGGAAAATCTGATGGAATCTATAAAACAGCTGCTTAGAACTAATAAGTAATATAGCAATTTTGCTAAATACATGCAAAATTAATATGCAAAAGATTTGAGCAAGCATACCACATGCAACTATACTTAGAGAAATGCGAGTTAAAACCACACTCGCATACAACTGTCCACTTATTAGAGTGACCAAAATTAGAAAGATTAAAACGTACCAAGTGTTGGTGAGGATGTGAAGGAAGTACGGTACATCCACACTTTAGAATACTACTTAGCAACGAAGAGAAATAAACTAGTGATTCAGCATGGGTGAATTCCAAATAAACATTCTGAATAAGAAGCTAGTACCCATCCCTGCACCCCACAAAAAATTACTGTCGGATTTCATCTATATAAAAGTCTGGAAACTGTGAACAGCAGCAGGTAGTGTAGTAGTTAAGGTGCTGGACTCGCACATGGCTGACTGTGGTTTTAGTTCCATACTTGGGCGGACTGTGGTCTGAGTCCTGGACCCAGAGGCTTAAAACTCACACTGTGTGTGTGTGTGTGTGTGTGTGTGTGTGTACATGTGCGCGCGGGTGAAGATTCCCAAAATCCCAAGAGGAGAATGGAGGGTAAGGGATTGTGGCATGGCCATCCCCCACTAGCGGTGATTATTCACTCTCTCTGTCTCTCTAGTGAATTGTGTGTGTGTGCGCGCGCGCACGCGCGCATGTGCATATTCCCAAAATCCCAAGAGAAGAATGGAGGGTAAGGGATTGTGGCATGGCCATCCCCCACTAGCGGTGATTTTTTACTCTCTCTGTCTCTCTAGTGAATGCACACATGCCCTACAGCAAAAAACTCTCAAAACAAAACAAAACAACAAAACATCCTGTGATCAGCAGGATGGCAAGTGAGAGGCATATAGAAACATAGAAACTTGGGGGATTGATGTTTATGTTCATCAGAGTTTTTTAAAAAGAATTTTGTTTTAATTGCCAGAGGGTGCATGTTCTCACTAGAGAGAGACAGAGCAAGAGCAAGGAAGAAAGCACCCCCCTCCCCTTCCCCCATGGATCATGCTGCAGTCTCTATTTCCCCCACTTATCCCTTTCTAAATCCCAGTCCTCGCACTCATGCCCAACACTTTTCTTTTCATTTCATTCCTTTTTTTTTTGTCTAGGTCCTCATAAAAAAAAAATCTTGCAGAATTTTTATTAGATTGTTTTGAATTTATCTACCTATTCAAATTTGTTTTACTTTATAGAGGATATATCCTTTACTAGAATTTAAAAAATATCTATGTATGTCTAATGCACTCTGATGGATCAATCCTAGATACTTTGTAGTTTTTATAGCTATCATGAATTAGATCTTATTTTCTAGTACAGTTCCTATTTGATACTGATGATGGTGATGATAGAGAAGCTTTGTTTTTGCAAGTTGATCTTTTTTAAAAGATTTATTTATTTAACTTTATTTATTATTTTTTAAAAATTTGCTACCCAGCACATGTGCTCACCATAAAGAGGCTGAGAGAGAGAGAAAGTGAGAGAGCAAGCCACCAGGTCTGGGACTTGAACTGTGCTCAGCCATGTAGAGAAGTCCAGTATGTTAGCCACCATGCCACCTGCTGATCTCCTGATTTTTTTTCTTTTTAAAGAGAACTACTAGAAATCTGTCTTTCAGATTTAAATTAATGGGTAATAAATCTATATATATAAATTGTGTATCTTTCAACAAATGACTCATTTCAGTCAACATTAAGTCTTTTATTTTCATCCATTTTGAGTCACACAATAGGATCTCATTGTTCCTTACAGGTGCATAATATTCCATAGTGTATATGTGCCACAGTTTTTCTTTTTCTTCTTTTTTTTTTTTTTGGAGAGGTTTTTGCTATAGGGCGCATGCATTCGCCAGAAAGACAGAGAGACAGAAAGCAAGAAATAATCCCCCAGGCGGTATGGCCACATCGCAATGCCTTCTCCTCCATTCTTCTCCTCGGGATCTTGGGCACACACGCACATGCGCCCAGCATGAGTTGAAGCCACCAGGTCTGGGACTCGAACTGCGGTTGACTACATGGGAGTACAATAACATAGCCATTATGCCAACTGCTGGTCCAAAGTGTTTCAATCTAGTCATCAGTTTTGGACACTTAGCTTGGTTCCATGTTTTAGCAATTGTGAAAGATGCTACAATAAACATGGATGTGTAAATGTCCTTCCTATTGAATGTTTTCCTATCTTTTGAGTAATTATCCGGGTCATATGAGAGCTGTATCTCTAGGTTCCTGAGAAACCTCCATATTGTTTTCCTCAGAGGCTGCTCCAATTTACAATCTCACCAACACTCATCCACCAGTACTTGTCGTTCTTTATATTTTTGATCTGAGCCATTCTAACTAGGATTAAATGGTATCTCATTGTGGGTTGAATTTGCACTTCCCTTATAACAAGAGACTTTGAACATTTTTTCAGAAGCCTCTTGGCCATTCAGAAGTCTTCCATGGAGAGTTGTCCATTCAATTAGTATGCCCATTTTTAATTGGATATTTTATTTTTATGGGCAAGCTGTTTGAGTTCCCTATAAATTCTGGATATCAATGCTTTGCCTGAGAAATAATTTGCAAATATTTTTCTCCCATTCTGAGGGCTGTCTTTTTACTATAATTATTGTTTCTTTTGCTGTGAGGAAGCTTTTTAACTTGATGTAATCCACTTGTCTATTTGGGGGAGTATTGCCTGTGCTTTAGGGGTCTTATTTATGAAATCTTTGCCTACTGCAATATCTTCAAAAGTTTCCCCTATGTTTTCTAGTAGTAGTGAGGTAGTTTGAGGCTTTATATTCAAATTTTTTATCCATTGTGCCCAACATTTTTCAAGCCATTGGGGCTTGGGTTTGAACTGTGGTTGGGCATGTGGGGGCTGGCTTCCTTAGTCACTGGATGACAGGGCTGGAATGATTGTGGTGACATTTTTATAGATGCAAATATAAGTCAAAAATTTTCAAAGGATGCACTTTAAGTATACCCAGTTTATTGTATATCAGTTATACCTCAAAAACACTATTTTTTTATTTACATTTTTTAATACATTCAATCACATTATTTAGCTTACAAGGTGATCATTTCAATATGTGAACATTTCTCCCCAGTCGAGTTGATCAAAATATAACAACACTACCTCCCTGTCTTAACAATGCTGTCTTCGTATCCCTCCTCCAAATGTTTTTTAAAAAATCAAACAGTGCAGCTTTCAAGTTACATAGCTTAAGAATAATAGAACAAAACCTAATCATCAACAGAAAACTAGGAGACCTGCTACAGAGAATTAGACAGGTGCTTGGCATCTATCTATCTATCTATCTATTATTTATCATCTATCATTTATCCATCTTTCTGTTTATCTGTCATCATCTCTCACCTGTCTACCTATTACCTATCATTTATATATCATTTAATCTATCAATCATGTATCTGACCATCAATTCTTATTGTGCTCTCATATCAACCTGTGAAGTTTATGCTATTCCCATCCCCTTTTACAGGTTTTTACAGAAACTAAGGCTATTTAGTTATTTATTTTGGAGAGGTTTTGCTATAGGGCACATGTGTTCACCAGACAGAGAGAGACAGAGAGACAGAAAGTGAGAAATCACCCCCCAGGCGGGATGGCCACACTGCAATCCCTTCTCCTCCATTCTCCTCTTGGGATCTTGGGCATGCACACACATGTGCCCAGTGTGAATTTAAGCCACCGGGTCCGGGACTCAAATCGCAGTCAACTATATGGGAGTCCAGCAACATAACCATTACACCAACTGCTGGTCCCAAGACTATTTAACTTTCTCAATGCCACATAGGCAGTAAACAGTGGAGCCAGGTCTGAACCCCAGGAGCTAGCTTGAATACAAGATCTGAACTACTGTAGGTGTGGATTAATTCTCATATCTCATCATTGTCATTTGCAGGAAAAAGTCACAGAAGAAATTGTGTCCGAGGAGCCTTTCTCAGCAGCCCAAAGTGGGAATACTAGTGAAATAGAGGTAGGTTTGAGTAGGGCCTTTGCATGCCCTGTGAACTTTACCTGCCGGCCCCTGTGAACTTCACTCCTTTCCACTGCAGGGTCTTTGTGTGCCCTTTCTTCCTCCAGACTTCCCTTCCCTTTCTCCCACTTCACACCTATCACCTTCTTTAGGACCTACATTGCATACCCTCTGCTGACTAACTCTTGTTCCACTGTGATTAATCCTTTATCCAATATACACTGCATGGATTAGGCAATAAGTTACATTTCTATATCAATTGAATTTCAGTAACTACAATTTTTCTTTCTGTTGCTCAAAGAGAAAACTTTTGGGGAAGCAAAACATTCATGTTTTCTCCATCATATGCACATGTATATATTCATATACATATACTTATATGTATTATACATGTTGCAAATCCTTACTCTAAAAACCCCAAATCCAAATCGCTCCAAAACCCCAAATTCTCCAAAACCCAAAATGTTTTAAGCACTGACTTGATGCCACATGTGGAAATTTCACACCTGATCTCATAGGACCTCATAAGTCAAAACATTGCAATACAAAAATATTGTATAGGCCTAGCCACAGTGGCACAGTGGTAGCGTGTCAATCTGCAGTGCTAGAAGCCATGTGGAAGATTAGGGTCTGGTTCCCAGGCTAATCTACATGTCAGGTGTGCGCATAACCACGATCATGGCTGGCTGGTGAGGAGGAGGATTACAGCATTAGACCCTGTTGAGAGCGCTTGTTTTTGTTTCTCACAAAAGGATGAAAATATGTATGTTGTATAAAATCACCTTTGATGTATATATATAAAGTATATGTGAAACATAATTGAATTTTGTGTTTAGGCTTGGTTTCAATCTCCAAGATATCTCATTATATAATTGCAACTATCACAAACTATGAGAAAAAAATTAAATCCAAGACACTTTTGGTTCCAAGTATTTAGGATAAGGCATACTCAACCTGTTTATCATTCACATGGATCTCAGGTTCCACTAACTGTCCCCTTTTGTTATAGATCAGGCCAAGGGGTGGGGCCATCTTCCCCAGTGCCTGTCCCTCAGGCATTATTTTTTCTCTCCACCCCACCCATCCCTTTGCCTGTAGTCCTTTCTTAAATAGACTTTGCCCACTCTGTTGCAGTCCACCCTTTGTTACCTGCCAGGAACCTGGGGATTCAGGATAAGAAGGACAGGGCTTTGTGGACCCTGCTCAGGGTTTTGAACTTTTCACAAAGAGCAAAGGAAAACATTATAGGGTTGACATGACTGACGTTGTCCTTCCTCTGTTGTAAGCACTGTGCTGAACCATCAGTAGACTCCCCAAATCCTCTTATTGAGAGGTTGACTAGCTCACCCACAGCCAGCCTGAGAAGCCTAGACAGCCCCCGAGGAGAACACATACCCAAGGAAGAGTCATGTCCATGGTGGCACAAGAAAGACCTGCAGAAAACTATTGTACATGGGAATTCTGCCAAAGGGCCAGATTCTCCAACCTCCCCTATCCAGATTCTGACTCATAAAGGAGTCTACCCAGAAGTCAGCTAGGGACAAAGTCTCACTGCCTTGGGTAACACTGAACTAGAGAACAGGCTTGGATATGGAACACAAATGGGCCTCCCGTTTTTCCCTGCTGAATTAAGTGTCCACATTTAGTTGTAGGCAGGTCTTACCTTTGGGACAAGGTCTGTCCCCACTCTGGGCTCACTATGTAGAGGTGAGAAGGTGTGCAGACTGAAAACAGGGTGTGCTGGCAGAAAGAGATATCTCCATATGGTGTAGGGGCCAGTTTCTGAGTCCCATCTTAGCATATGAGGTTGGCTTTCCTATTTGTGTCCTTTAGCATTTATCATTCCTGAGCACCCTGAGCAGGAGCATTGCAAGTACCTGGTCTTCTTCCCAGGGCTATGCTTGCAGCAGGTCAGACTCTTTGCAAGCAACAATCAACTAATGACTGAAGGGAGGTAGAGAATCAATAACCCAGCACCTTCTCCTCCTAGATGGGCCGGCTCTGAGGTGTATTCTTCAGAGTCCCCAGGAGAGTCAGAAGATTGAGTCCCCAGGGGGACCCATACCTTAAAGCACCCATGTTGCCTTCCGTCCTTCCTTGCCTCACTACCCCACATACTTTGCTGAATTTCCTGATCTTATTTCCCAAGTAAACTACTGGTTCTTGGACTCTTAGTTCAGGGTTTGCTACTGGGAGACCCACCCTAGGAGACTAACTGAGCAGTAGGTTACAACTTTGCCTCAGGAGGAGGGGGAGGGAATGCAGTAGAGGATGGAGAATTTCTCTCCACTATGCCTAAAAGGGTCACCTTTCCTTTGTGGACCAAAACAAGGATGTGGAGGGAGGGACAGGATGGTCCTCCTACCCCTCCTTCAATGTACTGGAACCCCACAGGGCATCTGGTTAAACAAAGTGGATGACCTCCCATGTTTATCTCTGTTCCCTTCTGGAATAAAACCCACTGAAATGACAGTAAGGGGATAAAAAGGGCACACATCCACAAAGGCAATAAGAAGGAGAGGAGATATTGGAAGATAAGTACTTTAAAAATATTTAGAGTCAAAAAATCGATGGGGAAGTTTACACTGGCTTAACACAGCTGAAGAAGGCAAAACTGGAGTCTTTATGAGAAAGAGTCTAGTGAAAAGTTTGTGTAAATTCTCCACAAGTCTGGAGGTTCTGCAGAAGGCAGGGTAGGGTATCGGGCTGAAAATGAGGCATGCCCAAAGCGACCAGCACACTATATTCCCTGCAGACTCCTCTTAGCTTGGTGACTACCCCTCCTCCCCACCAAGTAATACCACCAGATGACAATTCTCTGGAGAACTGAACAGAAGCAGCTCCAAATTCAGGTTCAGCCTGTGCCGTATGAGGCTGTGTCATGGTGAAGGACAGAGACTAGTGAGTGAGTGGCCTTCTCTGTTTCAAATAGAGGACTCCCCTCCTGGGTGCCCCTTCCAGCCTCCTGTTCTGGATGTCAGAAGCCCAGTCTTCATATTAGGTTTCTATGGCTGCTGTAACAAATCACCACAAGCTTGGTGGCTTCGAACAATGGAAATCTTTGGTCTTACAGAGTTGGGGGTCAGAGGTCCAAAATATGGATGTTCCTAAACTAAGACCTCGATATAGGTGGGGGCATATTCTTCCTGGAGGATCTAGGAGAGATTCCATTTCCTTGCCTTTGCTCGCATTCCCTGGCCAATGGACTCTCTTCCTTTTCAGGACTAGCAGCATAGTATCGTCCTTCTTCAGAGTTGTCAGCTAGTACCTCTCTCTGGCTCTGACCTTCTTACCTCCCTCTTAATAATAAACAAAGGTGAACCAGAACACTCTCCTCATCTCAAAGTCCTTACTGTAATGGCATCTGCAAAGCCCCCCTTTGCCATGTAAAGTAATGTATTTCAGGTTCCAGGGATGAGGACGTGAATGTCTTTGGGAACCACCTTTCTGCCTACCACAGTCCATGAGGCAGAAGATTGGAGAACTTAATCCCTCCAAGCACTCACAAACCCAAAGAAAAGGCCTCCAGATAAGATCACTGAAGTGGCCACCCATAAAAATGCCGCAGTGTTTGCTTGATCACTCTGCAGAGTGCCTCAGTTTGCCCGTGGCTATTGCCATGAGGCAGAAGATTGGAGAACTTAATCCCTCCAAGCACTCACAAACCCAAAGAAAAGGCCTCCAGATAAGATCACTGAAGTGGCCATCCATAAAAATGCCGCAGTGTTTGCTTGATCACTCTGCAGAGCCTGTTTGCCCATGGCTATTGAGTTTTACCTCCCAAGCTTTCAGGAAGCTAGAAATGTGCTCCAGTGATATAAAGCCTACACCATGAATAACAAAGACAAAGGAAAGACCTGGAACTTAAGAAATGGGAGCTGTAAAACAAGATGGCAGATGTACAGCAAGTTGGTAGAGAGCTACAAACCCAGAGTAAGGGGGAGGGAAAAAAATGAAGTTCATAGATTATCTTAAATGACTGATATCTTAGAAAATATCTATCAAATCTGGTAGAGCATGTGAAAAGAAAATGAGGAAACCAAAGGAATAAAGACAAAACACAAATTACATGACTTTGCTCAGCAGACAAATTAGGTATTTTTGGTGCTAATCTTGTTTTAATGGATACTATATGCACGTGTTACTTAGACTTGTTATATGGAGAGACTTTCACTGTAGGGCGCGTGCGCTCGCCAGACAGACAGAGAGAGACATAGAGACAATAGAGACAGAAAGCGAGAAATCACCCCCAGGGGGGATGGTCACGCCGCCGCAATCCCTTCTCCTCCATTCCACTCTCGGGATCCTGGGCACGCACGCACACGCGCCCGGCGTGAGTTTTAAGCCACTGGGTCCGGGACACGAACCGCGGTTGACCATGTAGGAGTCCAGCGACATAGCCATTACGCTAACTGCTGGTTCCCTGGTGCTAATCTTGTTTTAATGGATACTATATGCACGTGTTACTTAGACTCAAAAGAACTCTGAGAAGGAGCTCAGAGTCAATCATTTTCTTTTGAGTCATAACACCTTAGATGACCCTAAAATGAGACAAAATAGATCAACACTTTCTGGGTGGCTGTGGTCAATTGGAACTTCCTGGTTCCACTTTACACCTCACTCGGAGAACTCCCTGGATAGTTGCAAATTGAGAAATTCTTGTATCACAGAGTCATGATGCCATTTTTGAAAATAGGGGTATTTTGCGTAGAGAGTCAGAATACCATACTACCATGCTCTACTTTCCACCCAGTGAGCCAGTTAAAATATGGATCCTGTATCAAAGGCCATCCAAAACCACTTGTTTTCTGACCTTTGTGTTAGAACTTAATCACTTTATAAATTTTGAATCTCATTAAGAACATCTCCTGAAACCTGGTCTGGCTCAAGATGAGTTATTTCAAGTGAGATGTTCACACCTGTCCTAAGAACAGTGTCATAGAAAGATGATGCAACCAGTGGCCCATTAAACTGCAAAAATGAAAGAGGTCCTCATTCGTTCCTCCTGTCTCCTTGTTCTAGGATGTAGAGAAATTCAGTCAGATCTCCGTCATGGATGAGGTCGATAACTACATCAGCAGTGAGAGCTCAGCATCCATCTTGCTCCCTGAGGGGTACAGTCACTTCCACCCCACCTACAAAGGAGCCTCAGACGCTTTTTGTATTCAGCTGTTTTGCATTGATGAGAAATACGAAGCAAGGCAAGTACTGATCTTCGGGTTCTCTATTCCAATAAGAATTTCGAATGGCATTGGGGATGCAACATTTTAATTAGGCAGAGACCGTGGTTTCCAATCTCCTGGGCCCCAGGAGATTTTTAAAGAATAGATTCCTGGGCCCCATCCAGAGATTCTAATACATAACATTTGGATAAGGGCTACAAAGTGGGCAAGAAAGTCTGGCTCACCTACATAACAATTAGAGATCTAGAAAATTATCACTATGTAACCACATGCTACTTCCATTCTCTAATGTTTGCATTCCTTGGAGACTTTGGATTTGGGTTACTGTTCATCTAGAAAATCAAACCCTACTGAAATAATTGCTTCAAGTAACTAAGGATAAGTCTGATGGTAGACTTAATTTTAAAGATGGTTTCATTCTGTATGGGTTAACTAAATCATGGATCACATTTCTTTCTCCACCTCTCTCCTGGTTACCTGTTCTTGGCTCCATTTTCAGAGGAGTATCCCCATCCGTGGGTCAAACCTACAGCCCGCCTCAGGCTCTCCATCAGAATTCAGTGAGGAGGAAGTTGTGGACATCAGCTTTGTACCTGGCATCCAAAGAGGCCTTATTGGATTATAGCTCATTCCTGAGTCAATGGCTATGACCAGGCCATGCCATGGGAGATGGCTCAGACCCTTCCCTCATGCTCCACCCCAAATCTGGGGCTGGAGCTTTACCCAAATGTAAGAGCTAGAAGGAAGAATGCCGGGCAGACAAAGCCTCCCCACATACTGTGCCTCCAGAATGTCTACATGTTCAGTGCTTCTTGTCCCTGAAGTCTGTATGGAACCACTGCCCTCGATGCCTGAATCTACATCTCCTTTTGCACACTTACCTACTCTATCATTAGTCCATAGAACAATCTTGAAAAGATTGTCTCATTTTGATAGAGCAGTTCTAGAGTATCATCTAGATGACCAAGAATAGTATAGGGTATGTTGAGTTCTAGAGTATCATCTAGATGACCAAGAATTTTATAGGATATGTCATTTTTAATTTTTAATTTTTTGTCATATTATTATTATTTTTTTTTTTTGGAGAGGTTTTCACTATAGGGCGTGTGCTCTCGCCAGACAGACAGAGAGAGACATAGAGACAGAAAGCGAGAAATCACCCCCCAGGGGGGATGGTCACGCCGCAATCCCTTCTCCTCCATTCTCCTCTCGGGATCTTGGGCATGCACGCACACGCGCCTGGCATGAGTTTTAAGCCACCAGGTCCAGGATGCGAACTGCGGTCGACTACGTGGGAGTCCAGCGACATAGCCATTACGCTAACTGCTGGTTCCCAATTTTTTGTCATATTGTGCATGCGCTGGAGAGAAAAGAGAAAGACAGAGAGAGGGAAAATAAGAATTCACTCCCCAGGGTGGATGGCCATATTGCAGTCCCTTCTCCTCCATTCTCTTCTTGGGGTTTGGGGCTTGCACACGAGTGCAGTTGGTGTGATTTTCAAGCTGTTAGGTCTAGGACTCAAACTTCACTTGGCCATGTAAAAGTCCAGTGCCTTGGGACCAGCAGTTAGCGTAATGGCTATGTTGCTGGACTCCCATGTAGTCGATCGCAGTTCAAGTCCTGGACCCGGTGGCTTAA